CTCTCTCGGGGGCTGCACAGGTGTTCCCCTTAGATGTTCCTCTTAGATGTTCCTGGTGCATGCCGTCTCTCTCCTCCTTTATAGTCCTCCTCCGCCAATCCGTGCTCGGCTGCCCACATGCCGAGTACGCTGCTCTCCTCCAGTCAGGAGCAGGTCCTACAGTTTTTTGGCTGAACTGGAGGCAGCTGTGCAGAAACTGTTTTCTTCTCTCCCAGCGCCATATTGTGGGAGAGCAGGTGCATAGAATAAGTCTTAATTCCAGTAACAGTCTAGTCCGAGCTGCTCCCCACACATTTTCTTTATACATTTTTAAAATGATGATTTGATATACATTCACTGCAGGGAATCATAAAATATAGAGAACTGAAAATAAACAGCTAAAATCACCAATAAGTATACCTTTGTAGACTAATCCTGTTTATGCTTTTATCTTTCTTATTTTTATATAGCCAGTGCCCTACTGTTGTATACATGAGCATACTTGAAAAGATTCATCAAAAACCAGAGGAAGGGTGTTGTAATGCAATAGATTAGGCTACTGCTTGTTGGATTGTGATCCAGCTTCCTGCTGTTACCTACCCTGGGAGGAAGTAGGTGATTTCCCAAGCACCTGGGTCCCTGCAACCCCTGTGGGCGACCCAGGTGGAGTTCCTGGTTCCTGATTTTGGCCTGACTCATCCCTGGCTGTGGGGGCATTTGGGGATTAAATGGGTAGAAGATTCTCTCTCTCTCTCTCTCTCTCTCTCTCTCTCTCTCTCATGCTTTTCAAACAATTTCATATCCTTATGTGTTTATTCACCATACCACTAACATTTTATCATGCTTACAAAGTCTGTGAGAATATAATTTTTGATGACTAAGTAGTTTTCATTTCTGTAGTCATACTGTTATTTGCTGAATTTTCATTATTGTAAATAACACTGTGATCAACATACTATACACAGATTTTTGTGTTCATCATTGGTTATAATATAACCTGTTAGGTTATATATTTTCAGTGTTCAAGTAGAGGATATCAGATAGGTGCACATTGTTGTGGATGGGAGTCGATCTGAAAATATTTTACATAGTGATGTGTTATTCTTTGACGGGTACACAAACAGAGCCTTGGAACTATAATAGAGTCAGGGCATTGCAACTGGGGAAAATTCATGAGCTGAGATATGAATGTGAACAAACTTGAGCTGTGTGTATCTGAGTGTTACTTGATCATATGGAGGGACAGTTTTGAGAAACTGAAGAAAATGAAATTTGAAATATGTGATGTTAGTGGGTATGGCAACCAAATATCCTGAATTTTCTGGGACTTTGTGCTTTAAGCTATCCATTAATTATTTTATTTAATGCAATTTATGTGTAAAGCCCCATAATAATCCAGCAAAGTACAGTGGAAGCTGCAAGGGCCTATACATCTGTAGGGATGATGATATTAAATCAGTGAATGCAGTGGTCTGTCATGTTGTCCATATAATTACATTCATATTGTGAGACTGCAGTTGGAAAAGTATTCTCACAGTGGCAATTGGAAGTCATTGTAAGTACAGAATCTTAACAGAGTCACAACTTAGTTGATACAAATATTTTAAATATTATCACTCTGTAGATTGGAAGGGGACACAGAAGTAGGAATGGGAAGTAAAACTTTTAAGACTTAGTAGAATGAGTTGGACAAGAGGAAGGTCTTGGATTTAAATGGGTAATTTGATTTTCTGGTTCTGACTACCTCATGGATTCTTTAAAAACCTAAAAAACAGATGTGATATATCAGAATTTGGCAAGAATAGGACCCTGAATGTGTATGAGGGTATTTCAAAAGGTAGTGGGGAATAGAAGGAAAAGATATATTTATTTAGATGAAAAAATTTTTGAAATCTATTTATATGAATACCTATGTAAGAAGTTCCCTCAGAGATTCTGATGTGTGTGTCTGATTAGAAACTACTAAATGAATTAATGTATGTTTTTCCCCACCTAGAGAAGTTGCCAAGTTGTCTAGGCCTACTATTTTGAATCTTAAAATGTTTAATATGCACGTATAAACATTTTTCTTCTGTTTAGTTTTTCATACTGTTTTCAGTTCCTGAGAATTCTTTTTTTGTTACTTGGTTCCAAATTGTATTATAAACTTACTGATTAGTGTTACTCTGCAAAACCAATTTTGAGCAAATAAAATATACTGTGAAGGTTTAAAGAGATTTCTAAAACTTCTTTTCTTATTAAATGATAGATACAAAAACCACGATGGATGTGCAGACATGGTATTTGAGAACCTCAAAATTGGCTCTGGCCTTGGCAATTATCCGTTCAAAACCAGCAGACAAAACCAGCAGAGAATACACGGAGCATCTTGCAATGTTGGTATCTGAGAAAGAGTCGAAATGGAAATCAAAAATTGAAGTTTTGGAAGCTGAAGTTCTGGAATTACGTCAAAAACTTCTTCTAAGCAAGATTTGTTCAGGATCATTTAATAGTGGTGAGTATGTGAAATTGATATAGATCAACCTTTTTGTTGTTTTTAGTTACACAGTTGTCTAGAAATTTATTGTCAGAATATGAAATTGTTTGTTTGAAATTAGACTTATTCTATAAAATTCTTTCATTCAATGATTAGTGTTACTTTCCTTTTTAAAAATTATTAATATCAAGAGAACAGATTCTATTTTTGTTATAGGTATAGTTCTAAGATGACAACTGTACTTTCCTTCCTCCTTTCTTCCATTCTCAATTCTCCTCCTTTCTCCCTTTCTTTTTCTTCAATTTTTGCAAAGACATAATTTCAGTCCCCTCTATTACCCCAGGTTGAACTTACCACTGCCCACAATATTTAACAAATAAAAAATAGGAAGACATGAATAGGGCTATATTAGACTTTGAGCTGAGGTGAGAGAATGAAAGTAGACTAGATATGAATATGTTAGTGTTTTAAGCTTATTGGAGTAATTCATGTAAAAATGGCATTGTCCAATTTTATCATTTTACTATAATTTTTATTTTGCTCTTATATCTAGCTATCATGTACAAGCTATGGGCAAGGCATTTAGTGGGAGGTAAGAATCTAAAAAGACTTAAGATGAGGTGCTGTTGTTGCCATTAGTTACTGTTGTGACAGACACTATATTAGAGAGATTCCTTAGCTTTGGACTTCAAGGGTCTGTCTACTTATTATGGAAATGTTACAGAGCCTTCGTCAAGAGGAAGGAGTATGAACGACGGCACAGGAGTGGAGACTATATATCCCATTTGGAACACTGTCAGCATTACATTTTAGAGTGGGTGAGCAGAAAGGAAGATAGGTAATTTAGGATCAGCTACAAAAGGGCCTTGATTGCCTATCTAAAAACATTTTCTGTATCTATAAGTTGACTTCGTTTATAATTTATGATCTCCACCAAGATGCTTGAGAGGTTTATGTGTAGTGACACTAGTACAATAGGGGCAGTCCAGGACTCACTTAAACACACTGAAACATGTGGTCACCTTGTTCTTCACTTTTTTCTTCAAAAAAAGTCACTGGACTTTTTTTGAGGGAGAAGATTGATACACATTTTGATTTGGAAACATGATTCTGGAAAGTTTTGCAAAACTCAGATTACGTTACTCCTTTTGCATAAAACTCTTTCCCTGACTTCTAATTATACTTTATATTAGATTCAGACTTCTTTTTTAATTTAATTTTAATTAATTTCGAACAGATTCAATATGATTTGTAGACACATACAACTTCTTAAAGTAGCCCGCAGTGCTGTGACTGATGTCACCTCTACTCTGCATTTCTTTCCCCAGCAAGACTGTAACCACCATGGCCTTCCCTCCAGCCCATGAAGGCTCTTTCTTGCCATGGATCTCTATTGTGCTCTTCTCTCTGATTTTTGTTGCTGTTATTGTTGCTGGCCTCTTTCCTTCAATAAGTCTTATTCTAAATGAGATGTCCTCAGTGAGTTCTTCCCTGACCAACCTACACACATTTCATCTCCCACTAGTTATTCATCACAGAAACACTTATAATCGATTGGTTTTTGTTTTTATTTATTGCTTTTGTTGCTGCATTATCTCTTGAACTAGACATTAAGTTGACAGAGGAGAGATTTTTGATAATAAGCAGTGTTTTACTCAAATTTGAGCTTTAAGCTTGACATATAAAAGTTGTCCAAAATAACTTGTCAAATGGAAGTGTTAAGAGGGGGTATCTGGTTCAGCCCTAAAGGCATTCGGATCTGGCTGAAAAGCCCATGAGAGTATTTCAGGCATGGAAAGCCAAGACACTCTGGCAAAAGATCTCTGTGAGTGAGATCCCAGTGGAAAGAACAGGTCTTCAAAGAAGGAGGTACCTTTCTCTGAAGGGAGGAGAGAACCTCCACTTTGACTATGACCTTGTCTAAACAAGATAAGAGTCGGAGAACTCAGAGGGCTTCCATAGCCTTGGAAACTCATGACTGGAGCATAGGGAGATTACTGATGCCATAGACAGGAGTGTCAATTGGTAAAGTCAACAACAGGAGTCACTGTGCACTTACTCCTCATGTAGGATCTCTGTCCTTAATGTGCTGTACATTGAGATTTAATGCTATAACGAGTACTCAAACAATATATTTCACTTCGTGTTTCTATGGGGGTGCAAACTGTTGAAATCCTTACTTAATGCATACTAAACTGATCCTCTGTAAAAAAAAAAAAAAGAAATTATCAATTCCCAACTTGACTCTCACTGGGATTAAACATGACAATAGGTCTGCTCTGATTTCATCATCATTTAAAAAAAATCATCTATTATTTTTCACTTTATGTTTCTGTGTGGGAGCAAACTGTTGAAATCCATACTTAATGTATACTAAGCTGATCTTCTGCATATTAAGATAATCGAAAATGAATCTTGATGTGAATGGAAGGGGAGAGGGAGTGGGAAAGGGGAGGGTTGTGGGTGGGAGGGACGGTATGGGGGGGAAGCCATTGTAATCCATAAGTCGTACTTTGGAAATTTATATTCATTAAATAAAAGTTTAAAAAAAAAAGAGGGGGTATTTGGGCTGTAGCAATGGTTAGATAGTTTTAAAAGCTAATTTCAAGGGCCAGCACTGTGGCGTAGTGGGTAAAGCCGCCTCCTGCAGTGCCGGCATCCCATATGGGTGCTGGTTTGAGTCCCAGCTGTTCCACTTCCAATCCAGCTCTATTTTATGGCCTGGGGAAGCAGTAGAAGATGGCCCAAGTGCTTGGGCCCCTGTACACATGGGAGACCTGGAAGAGGCTCCTGGCTCCTGGCTTCAGATCGGTGCAGTTCTGGCGCTTATGGACAATTGCAGAGTGAACCAGCGGAAGGAAGACCTCTCTCTCTCTCTCTGCCTCACCTCCTCTATGTAACTCTGACTTTCAAATAAATAAATAAATCTTTTTTAAAAAGTTAATTTCAATGCCTATGTGAAGAATTATTTGTTGAGCTGTCTATGATAGAACTGAAATGAGAGACAATTTTGAATGATTTTAGAGAGACACTTTAGACACTTGTGAATGATTTCAGGGAGTGATTATGAGAAACAACTATTTGGGATGATTGAGATTCCCAGACTAGTTTACTAAATGAATCACTATACTTTGAATCCAATGAACACAGAAATTAGCTTTTATGGTAAAAGATTGAGTCCAGATTTCCTGATTGTAGCTAATCTCTAGAATATATAGGGATTAACTAGAATTAATGTGAAAATATGATCCTAAAACTCAAAAGCAATGAGCAGGATGGAACTATAGTCTCATGGATTTTGGATTTGTTGGCACCTAAGTAATAGCTGAAGTTATAACTGTAGATTAAACTGACAGGCAGAATTGAGCTGTCAAGGTGCAGATTAGAGGCTTGTACATTCCAAAATTCCAAAGGTGGGCAGAGACAGTGGAGACATTATCACATTAATGTGTCTAAATATAGTACACACATGCATGCGGTATTTAATAGGGGACTCGCTCACTTTAGTTTTGAGAATTACCAGGAAAAAACTCAATAACTGAATACCCAGATACAGAAATCTCATTTTTGCCTGAGCAAAAGTAGTGTTACATAATTTGCACCCGTTTTCAGCCTTTAGGGTTCTTGGTAATGGTCTCTTTAGTTTACTCAGTAAATGAACAGAAAAATATGATCAGCCTCCTTCATTTTTTTCCTTCTGTAGTTACATAATTAATGTAATGGTGCAAATGTGAAAATTTACGGTGGTCTAAAACTATGACCTTCATAAACACCATGTTGTCAAAACTGTTGTTTGCCATCAGGGGACTATTTATGATACTGATTTAGTATGCATATTATTTGTTAGCAATTTGTTAGAGTGCTTAATAGTAAGAGCATGGGTGATAACCTGTTTTTATACTGAATATTTCACTTACAGTTCCTGTGAGAGAAATTTTCAAAAATCCTATAATTAAAATAAATTTTACTCATGGCCAGAGTTGCAGGTAAAGCATTTTGGCACAGATGTTTGGAAGTAATCTGCTTCTCCATCTGTTAGCTTCAACTTCAAAAGTGAGGAATAAATCGATAGACTCAGATACACGGAATAACTGTTAAAGGGGAGAGAAAAATGTAAGAAGGGGATATTAAATTGATGGGAAAATCGAAGAAGGACAAAGCGGTAATTTAAAGAGATGTAATTTGAAAAATTCACAAATCTTGCTGTAAGGACTTCCATACTTGAACAATCAAAACTATATTATAGATACATTTATATTATTGAATATTTCCTACTGGAATTTTCAGAGTTGCTTTACATGTATAGCTATTCTTGAGTGTTCAGAAACAGCAGGCCCTCAATAAATGTTAAATTGAATGCATCTTGACAGATTGAGAGGCTGGGGAACTTAATTTACAGCATCAGCTATCCATTGAAGCAACCAAGAAACCCAGAATTAAGTGAAGCATAACATGGCAAAGTAAATAAATAAGGAAGTATGATATGGTTTATGTAGCATTTTAGGAACTCAGCTACTTCTTTTTCCTGATATATTTTTGTATAGCTTCTTAAAGAAGAATAAGCCTCTATTGTATTTATCACAAGATTGGTAGGTATGAAAAAAAGAAAAATAAAATTCTATTTTAGTTTTACACTATATTCTTATTAGGCTTAATTGCTCATTAGTGGAGGAAGGGAGGAAAAGAGGAAGAGAGAGAGTGGGAAATAGGGAGGTAGGAAGCCCAGGTATCAAGTGATGCATTTCTGAAAATCATTTTGGAGATGTGTGACAGCATAGTTAATGATCTACTCAATAGGCAACCCCTTTCCTTATTATACAAGCACTCCAATCCCCCACCCCACCCCACCCCCGGGAGGGGGAAGCAGAAATTTCTCATTCTTTGGGGGTTAATAAAACAAACAAACAAACCAACAAAAACCTCTCTTTTGCTAGAATTGATGAAGGTTTAGTACAGTCCTAATTCTGGCCAACAACTGGTAAAAAACAATTTTGGTCGATTTTGATCAAGATGGCCTG